CTCCGCGGCACCGCAGGCTGTGAGCAGAGCTGGGCCACGGACGCAGCCCAGACCCCCTGGAGCCAAGGATTGCAAAAAAACCCTGGATTGCAAGAAAAACAAAAAACCTTGGTTTTTTTTTTTTGCAATCCTTCGAAACAATCACGACGGGGAGCGGGGTCGCTGTCTTCGGTTTCGGGGGGCCCCCACCGACCCTCCGTCCCAAAACGACGCAGGGCGAGAAGCCCGTCCCGGAGAAGGGGTCGAGACCGCTGGGGGTCCACGCCGTGGGAGAATCATGTCGTCGGGGGTCTGGGCGCGCACAACCCGAGCCCCTCCCCAGACCCCCGACGTCATGATTTTTCATGACGCGACCGCCAGAAGTCTCGACCCATTCCCCAGGACCGGTTTCTCGTCCGGAGTCGTTTTTTGACGGTCCCGAGGGCTGGTAAGGGCCCCCCAAGGCCGAAAACAGTAAAAAACCTCCCGTCGTGTTTTTGTTCATGACTCGAGGGGATCTGGGTCTCGAGCCCAAAAAGGGCAGTCTTTCAGCGCCGTGGCTGCACACGCAGGAGTGATGCCGGCTAAGAGAGTGGCCCTTGGTGCGCGGCTGGTGGGCCGCGGGAAGGCCAAATCCAAGCGCGCACGCCAGTGATAGGGGGACCCAGGCGAGCTTGTACACCGGTCCCTCCAGCGAAAATTCGCTCTTGCGCGTAGCCGAAGAGAGCAGGAGAACCACCCTCAAGCCACTCGACAAGCGAAGCCGTTCAGTGGACGCACCCCGGGAAGGAATCGAACAGGGCAAGACGATGTAGTCACACCCAGGGCAATGGAAAACTCCAATTCTGGGGGTCGGTGTGGGCTTCTCCTCCCTTGAGTGAGGGGGGCCAAAAGCCCAGACCCCTCTGGCGTCGCAAAAACGCGACGGAAGATGTTTGAGAATCCGTTCTTTCCCAGACGTTGGCGCCGACCACGCTGGCTCCCTGGAGCGGCGTAGGGTGATGGGCCTGTTTGCCACCACCACCACCATAAGTTGGAGGGGGGAAGGAGGAGGAGGAGGAGGAGGAGGAGGAGGAGGAGGAGGAGGAGGAGGAGGAGGAGGTGGAGGAGGAGGAGGAGAAGGAGGAGGATAGGAGGAGGAGGCGGAGGAGGAGGAGGAGGAGGAACCCCTCCCCCTCCAACCTATGATGGTGGTGGTGGTGGACAACAGGCCCGTCGTAGGGCGCGTGCCTTCGTCTCCGCCCGTCGGTCTGCGGGCGCAAGGCACGAGCAGTCACCAAACCCTGGCCGGCGAGCTCGCCACATCCCCCCTGCTTGCGTGCCCCGGTGTCCTCTGGGGAGGGCTGGTGCCACGTCCTTGAGAAGCTATGTGCTCATGTGGCTAAGCTCAGACCTCCAACGTGTAGATAAAACAATACAGAGGGTGTCCACCGTGTTCGGCAGCAAGGGCCTGCGCCGGGAGCCCGGGCCGTGAGAACACGACTGATCTGGCGTTTTCAATGGGGATGTGATGAATTGGGAGGGGGGGTGGGGGGGAAACGTGCATTTTTCGTGCCCTTGTTCGGCCCCAGGGGGCCCTTTTGGGGCTCCTCTGGGGCACAAGAGGTGCACTTTTCCTCACTCGCGTATCGCTCGCCCTCCCATGACATACTGGACGCCTGGACTGCGGACGAGAAGCCAGCCACGGGGAAGTGGTCGAGATCTCTGGGGGTCGTCGTGAAACAAAAACACGACGTCGGGGGTCATACGAAGCGCAGCCGGCGCCCTGCTCCGAGCAGGCCCAGCAGCCGCATTCTGCACCCAAGGAGGGGGCCAAGAGGTCGCCACGAAGCAAACGGGTCTTGGGGGAATCGGCTACACGCAAGAGTGGCCCTAGGCAAAAAGGGCCTGTGGTGCGCACCTCTCGGAGGCCGCGGGGGCCCTGAGACCCTGGCGTTGCAATATTTTCGCGACCGGGCGTTTTCGCTCCAGTTCGGGCCCCGGGACCTTCACAGAGCGATCCGGCTCGAAAAACAAGCCAGAAAGATGGAGTCCAGGGCTCTGGTCGCGACTTTCCAGCGTCGGATCTCAGAGTAAGAGTGGCCCTAGGCAAGAGTGACCTTTGCTGGGCGACTTTCGGGGGCCGCGGGGAGGCCGACTTGGAACGCGCGGAAGGCCGCTGCCATCGCATCGCGTGCAGCCATCTAGGACCCTGGTGCGCCCGCACCAAAAATCACTCTGGCGCAGGGTCACTCTTACGTGTAGCCAAGGGGAACGGCTCGTGACATCTTCTTCGTTGTCGGGCCCTCGGCGCCCCCGGACGGGCCCCGTGGCCCACGAACTAATGGCTCAGGGTGGAGAGCTGGTCCCCGGGGGGGGCCCCAGGATCCAGGACCCGTCGCCGTTTCCCTCAGGACCCGTTCGGTGCATGCCGGAAAAAAAAGGGACTGGCTCACGAGGGGGCCCATGTAGGCTTCTGTCGGGCATGTTTTCCTACAGGCGATCGGTGGCCAAAAATAAAAATAGTCAAAACATAGGTTGTCGATGCTTCCCGTCCGGAAGCTGCGTAACGCGCGCAGCGCGCATCGAATGATTGATGCGCGCGCGCGCTGAGAGCCAGCTCCTCGGCGGGATCGGTCGTGCAGAGCGAAGCCGCGACGCTTCTGCGACGCTTCTGCGGCGCGGAGCGACATGCGCTCGGCAACGCTGTGGCACGCTGTTCGCCCCACAGGAGCACCGCATCAACAGTGCGCGTCGCGCGTTTGGCAACCCTGACGCAGAGCATTTGACCCTGCCGGCGGGCGAGCCAACTACATCAGACGCCGCAGCGACACGATTTCGGGCGAAGGGGGAGGGGGGGGGCACTACTACGCGACGTTCGCGCTTTCGAGGAACAGCCACGGGACCCACCTCAATCAAGGTACTGTTTTTCTCTGAGAAAACGCGGGGGCATGTCCTGGATGAGTTGGGATTGTCGAAGATGGTCACGCACTACCTCCTAGAGTGTTTTGATGTCCCGCACGTTGTCGGTGAGCATGTCCTAGGGCATTTTGAAATCTCAGAGATCGCCGCAAGCGCATATCGTTAGTATATTGAAACCTCGCACAAGACAGGGGAGCATCTTTGAAGTATTTGTAAAAATTCGCAAGTTGACATGGACTGCCTTTGGAGCGGTCAACAAGTATGCCACTGGCACTGAGGCATATTTGGAGTGTTTGGGAAATCCGCAGATGGCACTGGAGTGCATTTGGAATATTATATGGCGCTGGCGTGTTTTTTGGGGTATGGTCAAAGCTCGCACATGGAACTGGAGTGCTCTTGGAATATTTTTGGGGAAGTTTCGGGCACGTTTGAACTATGTTCCAAACGCATAAAATATGCGGGGGTATTGCGGGGTATTTGCTTATGTTTCAAATCTGCGGTGAATATATTTTGAATATTTAGACTGCGGGGTGTATTGTCCGAGTGTTGCGCGCGGCGTGTATGAAATCCTTCAGTGGAACATTTTGCGTCGTTGGCGACCGCGCGACATCACGCGCTCGAGTAGTTTGTAAATTGACGTGGCACGTCGGAGACGCACTCCGGGTATCCAAGGTGCTAGCGCTGCGCCAGTGACGGTGCTTGTTTGTGCTCCGGGCGCCGCGGCGGCGCCGGCGACGATTGGGGCGCGCCGCAGTCTCCCAGTCCTGCTATTCTACGCGCGCGCTGGGCCTGCCGATCTGTGCGAATGAGTCGGCGCATATGGGCGCGCGCGCGTGCACAAATAGGTATATTGCTGTGCCCTGGTTGAACGCGCCCGATTCGACTTCGCGCGATCCGCGCGACCACTTCGCCGATTCGAGGAATTAAAATCATTGTCTATGTGCTGAAAATTTGAACGCGCATGCAAACATACAACTCTGATCCTAATTTGCCCCGTCGCATGCCGAACAGTGCCCTTGTCTACTCTACCCCAATACAATGGCACACATAACCAACCCTCCCCTTGTGTTTTGCATTAAAGCTCAGGGATGTCGATATGCCATCCCTCCGCCGGAACCGACGCTGACCTCATCCTGCGCCCGACTGCCGTCAACCTGACTCACGGGCAACCTCCAGTCCACTCCTACCGTGCTCCATCCCCGCCCCTACTCCACCCACATCTACTCGATAATGGCATCAACGGCGGCATGCCTTGTCCAGTCTGGCTTGCCCCGCGCGCGCAACATACCCGCGCGTTTGCCGAAAGAGACCCAGTCGTCGAACGCGGGAAGCGTCGCTCTATTCGCGCCACTCTCAATGAAAGGGAATAGGGGGGGAGGACGCACAAGGATGGCGTGCAGGAGCGAAAGGGGCCAAGAGAGGGGAAGACTGGAGTTTTGCAGCAAGAACTGGAATGCCAACGGCCACAAAAACTGATCGGGCGGCTTTTGCGGATGCGCGTAACAAGATGGAACAACACCACGGATCCAAATCTGCAGGGCCACTGTCGGTTGCTCAGAAGGTACTCGTCGAACTGCTCACGCTGCGCGCAAATCAAATCGCAGCGCCGCGCCATCCACTCCACGATGGCAGCGCGCGGCCGGCCCTCCTTGAGCACGCTGCAAAAAACACATCGCCGTATACGCACGCCTGTGCTAAAACGCGAGCGCGCGCGCTGCCGCCACCAACTGCGGCGAAACAATCAATGGTGTCGCCGCGCGGCGTAGCATGTTTTCTAACCGTTTGCATTGTACGTTCGCTTCACCAATATCTTGGCAATAATTTCCAGATTGTTGTTAGTGTATTTTAACATAGTATGGAACATCGCCACCATACTATAGCTGTTTTTTCCATATTCGCCCTGTAGAAGGGCATGCCCGACTGCAACGCAGGCCAAAACAACGAGGACTATGACGAAGTCTGAAAGCGGAAACGTTGGTGTTGAGTTGGTCATCGTTCATCTGGGTCCCAATCAATTCGTGGGCCATCCTTGGGAACGGCAATAATGGACCATGATCAAGATCGGCGTCGACAAGATCCCGTGCAATATTGGTCATGGCCATCGCGTTTTTCCTGCAAAC